TCCCGCCGACCCCTCGAGCTGAGGCAAGGTACCAACCTAAAGTTCAGGTCATCCAATGTGAACGGCGCAAGTCACCATGGGCCGCCAATGCTCGGCCACCCAGCTCGCCACGTAAGGCATTACGGATCCCTCAAATGTGCAGAATAAGCAAACGAGCCGATACAAAAGGTGAAAGAGTCAGTGCCATTCGCCGGCCTGCAAGCTGGTAAGCACAGAGCGGCTTCCAATTCAATATCTCAAATGTCTCACCTGCCGCCGTCATCCTGTTTCTGATCGAGGCTACGAGTTCTGCGACATGTCTGGGGTTCAGGGCCGAGGTCTTAACTCATGTGGCTTGACCACACTCATTTGCGTTTGCCTTACCCGAAACCCCTGTTAGTGCGCGATTTATTGCCCCTCTACGCCACTTTTTGCTATTAACGATAATACTACTAACGTTAATTGATGCGCTTTTCGATGTAATTTAGGCTTTTTAATGCTATTTAGAGCGTGATATAGGTATAATATTATAATACTAGAGCAAGATAATAATAATCCTACCTCTATATAACTAGCATAGTTATTAAAGCTAATAGTATTATATAAAAGTAAGAATATCTCCTCTAAATTAGGATTTATATTAATAAAACTAGTAATATAAAAATCCTTTCTACTTACCTTAGTTCTCTAAGAAGAAGATCGTAAGAGAGAGCTTACGCTATATTAACTTTAATCTAACTTAAAATATATTACTTTTAATAAAATAGCTGTAATAAGGAACCCTTAGCTAACTATAAAAAAGATAGTAAAATCCTCTACTAGCCTTAAGAGAGGTAAAGCTAGCCTAATTAATAGGAGGTATAGTAGTAATTAAAACTCTTAAAGTAAAGTAAATATAAGAGGAAGAAGGTTTTACACTAGTAGTAGTATATATAAACCTATAATTATAGTTATTACTTAATAGCTTTAGCTATAAATAAACTTTATAGATAAGTAGTATAACTTATTAGCGCTAGAAGTAATAGAAAATAGTATTAGTGAGGTTAAGGAGATGCTTATAGAATAGCTAGAAGTTAATAATACTAAGGCTATTACTAAACTTATAATTAAGACTTCTATTAAGCTACTAATTAATCTTACTACTAAAGAGGATAATTTATTTAATAAATATTTTTTACTACCTCTATTATAACTATTACTACTACTACTACTTCTTATAGAGGTTTAAGTTTATATAGAGATTAAGATTATTAAGAATAAAGTTAAGATATAACTAAACCTTAAGCTTAAAGAGTTAAACCTAAGTAACTTCTACTTAGCAGTTAACTATATTATATATAATATAATCTAAGACTTTAACTATAAGTATAAGTTATAATATAGTAACTACTCCTTTAAGTTTCTCTTTACTTAAGTCTCTTTTACTTCTAAGTTAAACTATTAAATAGTATTCTTAAAAAAAATATTCTATATAAACTTAGAAAATATTAGAGTATTATAATTATAGCTATTTAATTATTAGTAACAGCTTATTAATACTATCTCTAATAATAATAAGAAGAATAAGCTATTATAAATTAAGATTCTTACTAATACTATAATAAAAGAACTTAATTAGTATATATTAATCTCTATAAGCCACTATTATAAGTTTTAGTAGTTATCTCTAGTGCTATTTAGTATAGGTTTTATTTAAATAAACCTCTCTATTAAAGTAATACTAATTTAAAACTCTATTAAGACGCCTTTATAACTAAGTACTACCCTATAAACTTTATAGTAGAACAATAACTTTATTAAACCTCTTCTTATTAGGCTTAATAATATTAGCAGGCTATCGTATTAATAGAAGTAATAGAGTAACTTATTATTAACTAGTAAGTTAAAGCAGAAGCTAACTTAAGATGCTTATTAAGTAATCTAAGTTATATATAGATATAAGTTAGAAGTTAAGTGTATTAATAACTATAATAGTATTACTAGTAATTATTATATATCTTAACTTTTTACTTTAATAAGGCTACTATTATATCTTCAGATTAATAAAATATACCTTATAGCTTAAGTAGAAGCTATAGCTAAAAGATTAGTAACTATTAATAAAGCTCTAGAAGAGATTGTTATAGATATAACCTTATATCATAATAGACGCTTTATTAAGACTAAATCTAAGCTGTAGAGTAAGATTATATTAAAGTTAAGAGGTAGTAGAGGTAGTAGAAGTAGTAGAAGTAGTATTAGTAGGTTTAATCTACCTCCTCACTTAAATATTATAAACTAAGTAAATATCTTATTACTACTGCTATACTATAACTATATACTATTAAATTTTCCCTTCTATAACTATACTCCTACTTAGTTATTATTATTAATATTACTACTAATAAGGCTACTATTAACGCTATTATAGGCTAAGAAGTAGGATTTATTAATTTTATCCTCCTCACTACTTATTCCTCAGATTAAGCTTACGCTATAACTTCTCTATAAATATCTATAATATCTATAGAGAATAGAAGAGATAGGAGATAATAAATAAAATGCTAATCTCTATACTGCTCTTAATCTTATCCTATAAGCTTATTTTTAACTTAAATCTCTCTAAAAAGTATTAATAGATTAGTTTAAAAAGAATAATATCCTTATAGGTATTATAGAGGTAATTAGAGGCTAAATTAAGTAGTTCCTACTTAAGCAGTATATTATAGATTTAATAGCAGAAGATAGTTTATACTTATTACTTTATATTATTAAAAGCTAACTAATTTTTAAGTAGAAAACATAATACTTCCTATTAGTACTACTAAATAAGATCCTCTTACTAAATAAGATCCTCCTACTAAAATAACTAATTATATTTACTCTCTTACTATATCTCTTACTTAATTACTTAATAATAATAATAATAGTAAGCTTTAATAGGTAGAATAAGGTTTTTTCCTACTTCTTTATAATAATATAAAGATCTTAATTTTAATAACTAATAGTAATTTATCTAATAAATAGGATATACCTCTAATGCTATAGCTGAAGAGAAACATATTATAATCAAAACATTATAAAGCTAACTAACTATTAAGATTAAATTATTTTTTTATATTAATATTATGTTATTTTAAGCAAAAGAGGCTCTTAATAGTATTAAAGTTAAATATAACTATAACTATAAAATTAACTTTATAGTAAGCTCTCCTCTCTACTAGTATCTTTAACTATTTTAATATAAATATTATAGTGATAAAAGTAATTTAAGATAGTATTAGTATTACTAGCTACTTTAAGAGTATAATTATAAAAGAAATCAGTAAAAAAAGTGTCTATTACTTTAAGTTATTTAAATTATATAAATTACCTCTATAAATAACTTTTAAGGTTTCTAAAAAACGCCTTAATAAGGTTAAAGTCTAATAAATATGTAAGTAAGTATAGTAACTTAATGTTATACTATTAGTAAGTCTCCTCTAATAGTCTCTTATTATGCTATGCTATGTTATCTATAACTAATATTAACTTTAGGCTAGGAAACACCTCTATCTTCAGTAGTATAAAATTCTTAATCTAAAATAAGAAGCTATTAGTATCTATATATCTAAGATAAATAATATAATTGAGAAGACTATTAATAGTGAGGGCTAGTAAGATATAGTGCTATATACCTCTTTTTAGAACGTTTTATTTTAATAGCTTTATACTTTTTAGCGCTTAGCCTATATATTTAGTACTACTTTAATAATTAATACTACTCTTATTAATAAAAATAAATATATTAGTAGTATAGTTATAGATTAATATAATATATACCTCTTATGTAGCTTAGTTTTATTACTAAGTAATATACTAAATCTTCTTCTTTTTCTACTAAATCTTTTTAAAGTAGTAAGAGATTATTAATATAAATATAAATAAATTAAACTCTTCTATAAAAAAAGCTTAAACTTTATTAAAGTAGTAATTAGTTTTATTATATAAGAGCTTAAAGATTACCTCCTTATAGATTAGTAATATCTTATAATACCTAGAACTTATTAGTTAATATAGTTTTAGTATATCTCTAGATACCTCTTATTATTAATAATAGATCTAAACTATTATAATATTATACTTAATAAGCTTTATAATCACTTTATTATTAAAATAGTAGATAGGTAGTAACTCCTTTAGTTAAGCTTATTACTTACTATTTAATAGCTTTAGTATTATCTACTCTGCAATATTAGTATAATTTTAATTAAATATAGTACTAGCGAGGAGGATAGATAGTAAGAGGGCTATATTATATATATTTTGCGTTCCTAAATAGTTTTAGTAATAGGATTTCTAGCGTTAATATAGTTAAAATACTCTACTACTAAGAGATAGAATATAATTATATAAGTATTATACTATAAAAAAAGGCTTATTAATAATACTAATAGTTAATTTATACTTAGATTTTATAATAATATATATTAATTTACTAATAATACTAATAGGATAGATAATAATAATATTATAGGCCCTAAATTAACGTACTTAGTGATAGTTTTACTTACTTTAGTACCTTAAGACGTATACTTAAGAGGAGTTAACTTTATGAGGATAGGTAGAGCGTTAGCTTATAGATTCTAGCGAAAGAAAGCTCTTCTGAAGCTATTAATGATTAATTTATATGATAATTTATGATAATTAGCGTTGATTAATGCGTTTTTAGTGTTAGCACGTACGAATGGGTAAAAGTGGCGTGGAGGGGCAATAAATCGCACACTGACAGGGGTTTCGGGTAAGGCAAACGCAAATGAGTGCACATCGGCGTGTGGCGGTGCGCCTCCGACTTCTTCCCGCATGTAAGTGGAGCTCAGACACGAACTTCACAAGCAAGGTCAATGTTACTGACATGAACTTGAATATATGGCCTGTGTTCGCAAACAGAGTAGTCATTTGTCGTGCTTGAAAATTTCCGACAAATCTTCGTACTGCTACCTTCCACGTGTTTACCCACTGATGATGGCAACATGTGACTTCGACCTCCACTCTTCCAAGTGATGTGGTCAAACAGAGAGCTTACAGCGTTGGGTGCATAGCATTTGAAAGCTGCAGGAACAACCTCCAGAATATGGAAAAGCCAGCTGCGGCGCAACGTACGGATTGCAGCGAGAAGTCTCCTGCAATTCTACCGTCCATGGCTGTTACTTATGAGAGGCGAAGGAAGTTTCTTTTGAGTATAAGACGGCAGCACGTCACACTGTGCCTGAAGCCATGAAACTTATAGACCAACTACGGAGAATGCTCCGAGCGCGAATCACTGACGATATGGGACAGTGCAGAAGAAGGACGGCATGACAACCCAGAACACGAGGACGAAAGCAAGGACGATTCCCATCAACGCGTATCGTGCCCACGTGGTCAACCTGCTCGTGCAGAGTTCGGATTGCAACACGGTCTGTAACTTCCCTATCCGAGCCTGTCCCCAAACCTCATATTCTGAAAACACGAGATAGTCCGCGCGACACCTCGATGTTCGAGATGCCCGACTAGAAGAAGCTCGATAAGTGCCGCTTGCCAATTAGCCATTCCTGGCATCATCAAAGAGCAAACATGACCAAGCCGAGATCAGTCAACGCGTTGCCGTGCCCCAGCCTTTAACAACCGGAAGGCTCGACGACAAGTGTCCAAGAGTTGTACGTCCCCATCCCCAATCGCGGCTAGTCGTTGGGAAAAGAATCGTCCCCGGGCTTCCAGAACCAAACGGGCCGACGAAGAGGTACGCGAAAAAAGCCAGAACGCGCCATCACGAGAGCACCGCGGAGTGGCCTGATGGAGGGTCTCTACTGCTGCACTAAACCACACAGACCGTGCCATCAATACGACGATGGTACAGTCGCACACAAGATACCAACCCCGATTGAAGGTGAGCGGAGCCCTTGCAACACCCGAGACGCTCGCAAACAACGGGGTAAGTGATCTCAAGATCTCGCCCCCTCCGTGCGGCCGGAACAGCTACCCGAGATCAAAAGAAAACGAGTGAATCAATCCTGCTATTTCCGTAGCCAGAAACTCGAACCGAGTGGGCAACTGGTAAGCTTGTGTGTGATTCACCCTGATGGTGGAACACTCAGACCCTCCCTGGCTCGGCAGATCATACAGACTAGTTCCATCTTTAGCCCCCAAAAAGACAAGGGGCCAAAAAAGATCAAACAATCAAACCAGACAAAACAGAATCTCTCCATCTCCAATCTGGGTAATCTCCAATTTGCTGGCCCTAAAAAGAAACCGAGCTCCCTGTCCTTGCCCGGCGCGCGGAAAAGCCCTTGCTAGCTTCCAGCCTTGCCAAACGGCCGACCTCTTTTGCCAAATTTCACCGAGGCTGTCGTGAGATTACACGTCCGAATGGGGGCAAGTTGATCAGAGAACAACCTGCCCCCAGTGGACGAAACTTTCTGAAAAGAGAAGATAGGGAAAAAGCTTGACTCAGGCGGCACGCGCTCCCAACCGAACAGGCAGACGGATCTCCAAAGACATGGTCCCAAAGAGAGCATATCCTCCGCGCCCTTCATTTGCTGTAATGACCAGAATAAGTCAATATGCCACATCAAGCCCCCCAAAAACGAAATCACCGCTGCGGTTCCTGGCCCGCGCTAGCTCGTGATACGAAACGTCAGTTTGCCTTGCTAGACTCTCGAGTAAGCGCCTCTGTGAACCTAATCCTTTCGTCGCCTTACCTTGGCCGAAAGTGGCATGGAACTCGCTCTGGCAGGATCAGAGACGTGAGCGATGGTGGAGCAATGGGAGCGAAGATGAAGAAATGAAGTCGCCGTGGGACTTGTATTCTACAGAGTATCGTCTCGAATCCAAATGTACAATGCTGCGCGGAGATGATGCATGACCTCTTCGTTTTTTCTTCCCAAAATCCCCAAAGTCCCACCCGCCAAAAAAACCGTGTCCCAGCCGAGGTATTTCCCGTACGGTTACCGCCATGAAACCTTTTTTCCTCCGCCTCTGATATTAGAACGTGCAGGGGGCATGGTCCGTCACCGAGAGACATCTCTCCCAAAAACTCCGTTTTTGCTCTCTGCCACAATGGAAAAAATGATGAAGCAGTGGAGAGAGAAGCAACCGCCTAGAAAAGCAATGAAGAAATGGACATAAAAGGGGACCGTGATGCTCGCGGATATGTGGGCGCGCTGCAAAAATGGGGGGTATCGTAGCATAGAGAGAAGACGTGAAGATGTTGTGCGTTGTTGCCTCGTTATGTGCCTCGTTGGCCAGCCACCGCAGGGGGAGAGCTCATAGGATGCTGTGCTTTTCGAAGAGCCGTGCCAGGGTGTCAGTGCCGAACGCCTCATCGTCAGGGATCATCTCAATGATGCCAGTCAGGTTGGCAAACATGTCACCCTGGTTGCGGTAGGCCAGGATGGAGGGCACAGCAGCGTTGTCGAACTCGATGTCGAGGTAGTGAACCTTGACGAAGTGTATTGTTGAGTGCTGGGAAACAAGGGGCATCATTGCGTGCTCTATCGTTGCTGATACATCGCACTAGGCTGGGTGTTAGAACCTGTCTGAACATGCTCAGGAATACTTTGAAGCTTACCTCGGGGTCGTATACAAAGACGACAACCACGGTGTCCCGCGCAACCTTCTCAATAGCGTCCAGGTAACCCAGAGCGTCGACCTCGTCCATGCGGCCATAGATGCGGACACTGGGACTTGTCCTCCGGTTTCTGACAACCTTGCTGGACTCGCTCTCAAGTTCTCTCCTTCTGCTCTCGCGCCATTGCGCCAGGAAGCTCTCCTCATCTTCCGAGTTGCTGTTGTTGCCGTCGTCGGTGCCGCTCTCGCTCTTGCGCGAAGACTGGGATTGCGAAATGCCATCGAGGCCGAAGATGGAGCGGCGCACAGTGGTGCGAGCACGGCTCATGAAGGAGGTCTTGCGGGCGTTCTCGTAGTTGCGGGCATCGGCGATGACGCCCTTGACTCCGGTGGTACGACCAGCATCGAAGCTGGCGGGGGGCAGCTTCAGGTCGGAGCCTGTCTGGCCTAGGGTTGGAATGCGCATGGCGGCGTCGATCTGGGAGTTGCGGAAGACGTCCTCTTCGTCGAGGTCAAGGCTGTCGCGGTCGTTGCTGCGGTCCTCTGGGTGTACTCTGCTGGTATCGCGAGACTGGGCAGCTAGCAGGGCGTTGAATTCTTCTTGGGCTGGGGTAGGGTTCGACATCGTGAACTTCTGGGAGGGTCGCGGCCGGGGGAGGAAGCTCGGTTTATGTATGGGATGACGGACGGACGAGCGGGCGGGCGTGTGGTAAGAGAAGAGGAGGAGGTGGTAGGGGGTGGTTGTCAAGGTCCAAGGAGGAGTAAACAAGCAAGCAGGCAAGCAGGTAGTGTGAAGGTGCCAATCGTGCGACCTTGGAGCTTGGAAGGGTGTGCCCGGTTGCTTCTGTCAGGGCGGCTAGTAGAGGGCAAAGCAGGAAGACAGGTAGAGCCAGGAATGTGAATGGACGGTAGGGTAGGGTGAAGGGTGGTTGAGCTTTGGTTTTGGAGGGGGAAGAGCGAGGAGGGAGGGCTGTGAGAGGCGTGGTTTCTGGATTCTTGTGGGAGAGAAGTGGGCGTGGGAGCATGAGGAGACGAAGGACGGATCGGAAGGATGGTGGTCCTTCGATGGTTTTTCTCGAAGCAGTGGAGACGCGACCAGGGGTGAACCCTTGCAGTTGGCCACGATGCGGTGAAAGCCGGGCTCCAACGACGGGCTGTGATGGTGACTGATGCTGGTGCAGCGAGTGGTGCAGCGGTGCAATGGTGCTGCTGCTGTTGCTGGCTGGGCTGGATTTGGACAGGGGCCCGAGTGTCGAGGATCGAGGGTCGAGGGCGAAGCCCCTGGGGTGCGTCAGGCTGTTTCAGAAGGGGTGGAGGCGCGTGGTCGCGAACAGGGGAGACTGGGCGGGAATTGTGGAATGGTGGATGAATCGTTGGGCGAGAGTGGTGAGATGTTAGATCTGGTCGCGGAAAGGAAATCTAGTCCGTCCTGTTAAGACGAGGATGTCTGGCTCTCGTGGTGCATCTCGTCGTTTGCGGGCGCAATTGTCGACACTGGAACGAGCACCGCAACGCACCACAGCACAGCGGCACGACCGGCTAGTTTCTTCCACCTGGCAGTTACTCAACCCAGACAGACACATGAAATGCCGAGCGAGATGTGCAGGTGACGGGTCTCGCGCATAAGTGATCGGAGCAAGATAGATTTCGGGACGAGGAGATAAAAAACGGGGGAGGGCTGAGAGAAATGTCCGGGCCCAGGACAGGGAAACCACGGAACGGCGATGACCGTTATTTTGCTGCTGAATCTGATGGAACCTGACCTGCCCTGTTGTCGTCGTCGAATCCATTTCCCTTTTGCATCGCCTCGCTCTCTGGCAAGGGCAAAGACGAACTCGCAAGGAGGGCAAATTGCATACGACAGCCAACGGTCATGCACGCGTCTACCTGTGGATCTTGTCCTCTTCCCCCTCTCCTTTTCTTCGTCCTTCGTGATGCACGACAGTGAGTGGTTGAAGGAGTAGGTGCCTGATCGCGCAGGACGCCAACGCAAGAATCAGATCAGAATCAGACTCTTGTCATCATATCGTGCTGATGCTTCTCGTTGGCGAGGCAGGTTGCAAAGTGAAGTGACAGGGCCTGCAGAATCAGCAGCTGCACACCCTCTCGGGCCTTAGTCGTGGTTTCGCCTCTTCCGCTCGCGTGGCCCTGCCGGGATCACAGGGCTTGTCTTGGCTTCTCGTCAGGGGCTGCTGGTCTGGGGCCAACCGACCGCTGTCTGCCGATTTCCCCTCCGCCCTTTTCTTCTTCATCCCCTACCCAGGCCCAGGCAAAACCTCGTGCATGTCCAATCACTGCAGCCAGATACCCGTAGGGTCAAGTGCCGTACAGATTCCAAGGCCCGGGACCTTGCAGATGGGCACCGCATTCTGCACGCTTGCTGAGGAGCCGCCTTTGATGCTCAGGATCGTTTTTTCTTTTTTCCCCCAAGATACCAAACAGCAAGCAACTTACATGAACCAACTCGTTGCCTTGAGGTCGTTTGGCCAGGATACACAAAGGGTCGTCGTCGCCACAAGAGCAACAGACGCCGACAGCTCCTGTTTGCCCGTGTGTTGGCCTGATGTTCGTATAACCCGACCAACCAGGGCAGAATAAGCTGAAGGTAGGCTCAATTGACTTTGAGCTTTTCTCCTTTTGCTTTTGGGGTGGCAGCTGCGTCATTTTCTACCATCTTACGTGCTTATGTCTGTTTCGTATTACGGCGTACTTGCTTCCAACTGATCTCACCTCACCTTCTGTCTTTCCATTGTTTACTTTATCTCCCATGTTACTTCAATTCCTTCCTGCCTTCTGTCTGTTTAGAGGTCCCTTCCACAACCCGAAATGCTACCTTACGTATGCATATTGTCCAGTATACATCACCCATAACCATACCTGGAAGGTTCGGTCCTGCTGCGTCACCTCTCCTTTCCTCACATAAAGCATTTAATTTACATTCGCACTTGCACTTTGCACTTGC